CAAATATCCATCAGTTTCCTACCCTAAAGCACCACAAAAAAGTCATATGATCTAAGTAAAAAGCAGAGTGCACACTATGCAAATATAGCTTCGGGACAAATCTCATCACCCACCCTAATCTGATTTTTGCAACCCAATTGCTGCACTTCATACAAATATATAAATTGCGCGTGTGTGTGTGCACACGTAGGTCCTAAAACCATTTCTCCCAAGAACAGACTCCATTAAACATAAGTATTTTTAAAGAAGATGATAGATTACAAAATTACTCTGTAATTTTGGAATTTTCAAGCAACCTCATCCTATGGCTTTGAAGGCAGCAATGACATCTTAGGCCTTACAGACATGTCTTTCTTACGGCCATATCTTAAGAAGTGCTCTGATGAGCTGAACATTTAAAGTGACATTGCTGACTGTGCCGAGAGTCGGCAGCAGACTAGTTTAAAACTGGGCGTCACTGACAAAGTGAGGTCAGTGGGAAATGCCGCAGTCGTGCTTCTTGACCAGGGTAGAGAAAATTATTTTCGTGAATGAGGTCATTCTTTGGCTTTGTGACTGTGAAGCAGTCCTTCCTTGCCCCCAAAGGGCAGTCCCATCCCTCTGGAAGGTGTACAGCGCTCTGTCCCTTGGCATCACGGCTGACGCGATGGCCCGCTCCTGGGCAGCGGGGTGAGGGTTTGAGCCACACTCTATTCCCTTGTGTTTTGTTTTGACCGGATGTTAGGCACTGAATATTTCTCAAGTGTTATATTTCATTGTCCAATTTTCCAGTTTGGCAGGACATTTTCCTTCTCATAAAAGAAGTTACTCAGACAGAGATTCCAGATCTCTGTCTAAGCTGCTTTTATTGGAACACTGGAAGGGTCCAACCTTTTCTTCTCAGTACAATCAAGAGTTGTACGGCTTTGCCTTTGTATTCCCATAATTTTACAAAGAGTTGAATTACGTAAGTGGAAAATTGTCTCCTCAAGCATAGAGAGAATTTGTTAGCACAGAATGTAGCTTGGAAAATGCTGATGTAAAACTTCAATCCAAGAGAGAAACCTTTTAAGTTGCTAAAATGTAGTGGAGAGGAAGAAGGAAATTGCTGTTTTACATGATTGACCAAAATGCACTGTAATTATATCAACTTAAAACAGATTCTTTAGAAGAACTGATAACTCTGTGATCAGAATAAGTCACGTGAACTGGAACGAAATACTGCATGTACTCTGTCTGCAAAGTGTAGACACGCAGTATGTGCGATGTGCCATAGAAGAGACAGCTGTTCTTGCCTTGGCCTGTTTAATGGGACCTCCAGCTGCTTTAGCAGTAAAGGATGGTGGGGAGGCCTTACTGAGGAAGTAGTATTTACCATGCCAGCTCATCCCCTTGCATTGCTTGACAAGGCAGTTGTGGACTCTCCTCATGTAATGCTATTTTGATGTTGCCACTCCTGTTTGTAATTAACATAGCATCACTCATCAGGCAGTCAGCTTCTGAATGGAATGCTCCTCAAAGATTCCACTGGCCGTCTTTGTGGCCTCTTCTGACGTGGGTGGGTAAAGTTTAATCACAGATATTTAGCCCAGAGATATCCCTCTTATTTCCCTCTTCCCTCCAGTGTCCCTACATTGTCCCATTTTCTGTCAGCCACGGTCCACACATAGATATGAGATCATTGCCAATAAGAATGATACCAGTGTTCATTCAGTATAAGTAAAACTCATTGGCTAGCATCTGATGCTCTGAGATGCTGTTCCTAAACTGTTCCTTGCATGTAGTGATCATCTATTTGTACCTAACTGTAAGCAACTAAAGGGCAGGATTATGTCTTACTTCTGTGTAATACCTCAAGTAGTAGAGTGCTTAATACATAGTAAATGTTCAAGAACTCTTGTCAACTTAATAAATAGTGGGTTGGGAATGCCATCAGTTGGATTCTGAAAATAGAAAGAGATTGTGACTAGTGAGTGGAGTGCCTAGACATCCAATGGCCAGGTTAGATAAAGCTTAAGCTGACAGAAGACCCACCTTACCCGAGCCTGTGGACATCATAGACAAAGCTGATGTCTCTAGCCCTGGCAGGAAAATTTCCGGGCATTGAATAGCACTTGCTTCAGACCCTCTGCTGGCACTTTCACAGCCCCTGGTAGGACCAGAGTCATGTACAGTAACTGACAGATGGCTATGAGGAGTTCCCTGAGGTACTCCACTGAGGAACAGGAAAAAGTCAAATGACCTATGTCGGGCTTCGACTTTTATCTCACAAATACCCCCTGGACCTTCTCAGGTCTGCACCCACCCTGAGCAACTGGATGGCACCAGTGGAGGGCTGTGGCACCCATCCAGAAGGAGGCTCAGGTGGCTGCCCTGGGGGGGGGGATTTTTCCCCTCATGTCTCCTGAAAGGATGTCTTCCTCACTAGACTTTGTTTCTCTCCTTTCCCCCCTGAAATGCCTCCTCCGGGCTCACTCTCTTGCATCTCTGAACCGCACCGGGCCAGCTCAAATCCCTTCTTCCTGAAACCCTGCCCAGTCCTCCGCAGGAAGCGGTGACTGCTCCCTCCGGTGAACACCTGGGCGATGTGCTGCTGATGCCCCGTGGCATTTCTGGCTATTTTCCCTTATATTGTTATTACTTTTTCTCATTTATTTATTTATTGAGTTTCTTAACAGACAATGTCCTAGGTTTTTGTGAAACTTGCGACATCTTATTTCCAATGGCAAATATTTTTAAAATACATGGTAATTTAGACGAAAAGTATCTAGAAAGGAATTTAACAGGTAAATGAACTTAGTGAAAGTTATTGTAGCTATTATGAGAAAAATCTATAAGCATATAATGCTTTAATTAATTTTTAAAGATTTCATTTATTTATCTTCAGAGGGGAAGGGAAGAAGAGAGGGAGAGAAACATCAATGTGTGGTTGCCTCTTGTGTGTCCCCTGCTGGAAACTGGCCTGCAACCCAGGCATGTGCCCTGACTGGGAATCAAACCGTGGTTGTTTGGTTCCCAGGCCCGCGCTCAATACACTGAGCTACACCAGCCAGGGCTATAAGCATATAATGCTTTTATAATTTGTAAAATTATTTTAAGTTATTTTCTTAAAAGAGAACAGTTAGAGAAGAATCTTGGACTTCCCAGCTAGACATTAAAAAAAATGTTTCAAACTCAGCAATAAATATGGATTACAAATAGCAAATGAAGAAATAGAGATTCTGTTATCTCAACTCTATGCTGTAATCCAGACATATGAAACATGCTCCATCTACCTGACCATCAGATCGCTTTCTGGGATCTCAACAGAACTGCTTACTGCATCTTCTGGGCTAGTGATGATACACTCACTAAGTGCACCTTTGAATCGAGACTAGTTTAAATGAGTTAGCTGACCTGGTCCAGTATCTTTGGATAAGCTCCATGAAATTTAAACTTCAGAGGTATTGTTCTTGCCTAGAAACTAACCTTCTAAAACTGACCATGCTAATAGAACTACAAGTTTGATAAGCAAAACCATTATGAAGATGAATGTCTATGACAGTTTTGATGTTGACAATAGTAGCCCATCTAGGGCTGTGGAATATTACTTGCTGGACTGAAGAGGATCGAGAGCGGCTCATATTGAATGCATCGTTTTTTAAAAACCTATTTATTAAAAAAGGGATTACCAAACAAATACATCCCTCTCATTACATTTTTGTTGCCACCATTCATGTTCTGACATCATTATCTTCACCCGGACTGTTGGATTGCTCTCACATTCTGCCCTCTATACTCTCATTTTAATCCATCCAATCAGCACGACAGCTCTCCACTTCACAAAATCAAACGTAAGCCAGCCTCCCTTTTCCACTCTTACTCTGTACTTATTTCATTCATACGCCCAACCGCTTCAATCAGAGTAAATTATTCACTCTTTTCTGTGATATATGTGTCAGTTCTCAGCATAATTCCCTGGGGTCTAGAACTACAAAATAAATCACTCTTAGAGACTGTGTTCCTATCATAAATCCAACAGTTGGAGAAAAACATCTCAAAGTAGACAATATTAGAGATGCTTTTGAGAATTCTTTTTAAAAAAATGCTTGGTAAAATTGTGGAGGAAAGTACAGAAGGGGTACAAGCCTTAATTCAGAATTGTAATGAGGAAGTTAAGCACAAAGAGTAGGCCGACTAAAGAAACTCCAGAACAGAGAACAGCTGGGGTGGCGGGAAATGAAAACACCTGCCATAAATCTCTTTTGAAACAAACCCCAGGGTAGAATACAAAATGAAGGTAAGACCCTCATACTGAAAACTTCCATATTTTGAAGTTTAGAGTTCTGAGACCCGTGACCATACCCAAACAGAAGAGAGCAGAATTTAGCGTTCTAGGCTGGGACACACTTGCATCGGCCACCCACTGTCTGTAGAGCGCTGTACTTCTGGAGAGGCCCCGGTAGCCTGAGCTGCCCACGATGGCCAGGTCCGCGTCCTGAAGTAGTGAGAGTGAGGGGTATCCCAGCACCGCGCCGACCCCTGCCCTAAACACGGGCTCCTGTCTGCCAGAATGATGCCACATTCACAGTCAGGGTGGAAGCGGCCCTATCAGCTGCTCTGTATTTCATTAACCCTTTGTATTAAATTGCCATCAAGGAGCACTAGTTATGATAAAAATAGAGCTTTGTTTCATACGCATCTTCAGATTTCTGAATTCTACATTAACACAGTCTATGACGTCTGTGTATGCTTTTCACAAAAGCAAAAAAGCATAAATGCCTCAGGGTGCATCTGTCTGGCTGAGAAACAGATGTCAAAAAAACTCTTTCTGCGGTTTCTATTAAAGTTCAGAGAAATATAATTTTAGAGGTTACAAAAATAAGGTAAAGGCTATATAAAAATAAATCAATAAAATCTATAGCAAAAAAAGAATATTTTGGATTAATCCGTAAAAGCTGGGTTTCCTCAGACTTTGAAAAATGAGAAAACCAGTTGACAAAGTCCTTAATTTGGATTTTTTTGTTTGATTTTGTTTCTAGGTTCCAAATTCAGAGATGTTCAACTGATCCAAACAGTTACAAAAGCTTAGGAGACAGCTTTCGAACAATTTTCCGAAGAGAAGGGTATGTATGGTTCTTCATATATAGATTCAGTGTTGTTATAGGCATTTAAATATGTTACTGTATGACACATTTTCTCATTTTGAATGGGATATTTTCCTAGTTTTATTAGGGAAAATATGAGGTGCCTTCCTACTTTTCTATGTTGTTCTTGACAATATGATAAAAATTAATATGTATACAATGAATATACCATAAAAATATATCAATGATCAGTTTGATGACTAGAGGAAAATTTCTAATTTGTTCCATGAAGACTTTTTAAAGTGTGCAAAAACTAGGACTAAGGAAATGTGACAGTTCTTTTTTTTTTTAACTTTTTTTATTGATTATGCCATTACATTTGCTCTATTCCCCCCCTCCATTCCCCTCCACCCTGCATACCCCTCCCCCACCATTTCCCCCTTTAGTTCATGAACACGTGTCTCAAATTCTTTAGATTCTGTATTTCCCCTGCTATTCTTACCTTCCCCCCTATCTATTTTCTATCTACTGTCTACGCTACTTATTTTCTGTACCTTCTCCCCCCTTCTCCTCCTCCCACTCCCCTGTTGCTAACCCTCCATGAGATCTTCATTTCTATGGTTCTGCTCCTGATCTAGCTGTCCTCTTAGTTTGCTTTTGTTTTAGGTGTGGTTGTTACTAACTGTGAGTTTGCTGTCCTTTCACTGTTCATCTTTTTTATCTTCTTTTTCTTAGGTAAGTCCCTTTAACATTTCATATGATAAGGGCTTGGTGATGATGAACTCCTTGAATTTGGTCTTATCTGAGAAGCACTTTATCTGTCCTTCCATTCTAAATGAAAACTTTGCTGGGTAGAGCAATCTTGGTTGTAGATCTTTGGTTTTCATGACTTGGAATACCTCTTTCCAGCCCCTTCTTGCCTGTAAGGTCTCTTTTGAGAAATCAGCTGACAGTCTGATGGGAACTCCTTTGTAGGTGACTGTCCCCTTAGCTCTTGCTGCTTCTAGGATTCTCTCCTTCATTTTAATCTTGGCTAATGTAATGATGATGTGCCTTGGTGTGTTCCTTCTTGGGTCCCACTTCTTTGGGACTCTCTGAGCTTCCTGGATTTCTTGGAAGTCTATTTCCTTTGCCAGCTTGGGGAAATTCTCCTTTATTATTTGTTCAAATAAGTTTTCCACTGGTGGTTGTGCCTTTCCCCCTTCTGGTACCCCTATAATTCGGATGTTGGAACGTTTAAAGATGTCCTGGAGGTTCCTAAGCTTTTCCTCATTTTTCTGAATTCTTATTTCTTCATTCTTTTCTGTTTGATCATTTTTTTCTTCCTTCTGGTCCACTCCCTTGATTTGAGTCCCAATTTTCTTTCCATTACTATTGGTTTCCTTTGTATTACCATTCATTTCAATTAGTTTAGCTTCCATATGTTTCTCTAATTTGTGACTAAAATCAACCAGTTCTGTAAGGATCCTGATAACCAGTGTTTTGAACTGTGCATCTGAGAGACTGGCTATTTCTTCATCGCTTAGATCTATCGGTTCTGGGGCTCTGAGTTGTCCTAGAGCCATTTTTGGTCTATTCGTGCTGTTAAGTGAGCGGAGCGAAGCCTTAGTTGTTTACCAGGACGGGGCGACCCAGGTCGCTGGTTTGTGATGCTGTGTGTGTGGGCGTGGTCAGAGAGGGAGCAATGGCGGTCCTCTCCGCTAGCCCAGCCCGTCCAGTCACACCACATGCCTTGGACTTGTTTATCCGATAGGAATTGTGCGAGCCTGCTGCCCCGCGCCGGCTTCCCTTCTCACTGGTTTCTCGGACCGATCCGCGGCACCTCTTCCCTGTGCGCTCCCGCTCCCGTAGCTAGCTTGCTTGCGATCAGTGCCTTTCAGTGCCTTCCGCTGCTTGTCTGCGCACCGCGCACCACCCGGGAATTTTTTTTTTTTTTTTTTTTTTGCTAACCTGGTCCGCTGCTGGCTTCGCTCCTCGTACAGGTTTAGCTGAGTATTTAGATGTCCTTTGGACTCCGTATTGTCGATTTTCCGTGTGGCTTGGTTGTGACTGTTGTTAAAAATAGTTCTTAGATTTGGTTGTGCACAGAGGCAAGGTGGTTCCTCCACCTACGTCTCCATCTTGGCGGAAGTCCGTGACAGTTCTTTACTTTAATTCTTAATGCTTTTGCCTGAATGTGTTCCCTGTTCACATTTCCTGTTCGCATTGTGGTTTATGAACTGATCTATATCAGATATTGGTCTGCCAAATTCCTCATCCTATTTGATGAACAAGTCAGTAGAATATTTTGATTTTATAAGCTAAAATGATCTCTGATGTATAGATTCAGTTGAAGACTTCATCCAGCATGATCTTCCAATGGATGTGGTATTTGCCTTTTGGTTAAAGTTGTTTTCATAAGAGAATTGGTTGAAAATAATTATACAAAAATGATAACAGTGATAATAATAACTAGTAAGTATATTTAGCCTGACTATGTACTAGGAATTCTCCTTATTACTCTGCGAGGTAAGTTCTGTTAGGATCCATTCCAGGTGGACGGGTGAGGAAACCAAGGCTCAGAGGAGTCAGCCATGTCCACATGTCCGGTGTAAGTAGTGGAGCTGGGACTCAAGTCTGGTTCTGCTGGACCCTGAAGCCCATGCTCCTGACTGCGGTGGTCACCATGCCTCTTGACAGATTAGATTGTGGATACTGTTCTGCAAAAGTGTTCATTTTAGTTAAATATATATGGTGGACATCTTTACATTACGACAGCATGGTAATTTATTTATCTACCTGCTGTAATTTATTAAATTAATCCTTTTTGTGGACCAATCGATTGTTTTCAGATTTTCACTACTATAAAGAGCAGTGCAATAAGTATTCTTATACTAGTTTTGCATGTTTGTGTACATATATATATATATTTCTATAAAATGAAGCTATGGGTTTACAGGATTAGATGTTACCAATGATCTTCCAAAAAGCATGTAATGATTTTATACCCTTAGTATTTGAGAGTTCTCATTTTTCACAACCTCTCAAACACTGGACATTATCGACTGTCATTTGGTGTATGTCACCAAAATATAATCTATATTATTATTAGATTATAATTGTTTACAATCTAATGGGTGAAAAATAAAATTATGTTATATTATTCCTGTGACTAAATGCAAGTCCTGCTGCCCACTGCTGCCAAAGCCAATGCTTGAGAGGCAGGTGATAATGGTTTAAGTGGTTTATTCAGGTGCCAGCACCTGGAAGGTGGGCACTCGTGTCTAAGCCCATCTCTCTGAGGAGATGGAGGACTCACGTCTCAAAGCCCAGCATCTCCCCATCTCAGTGGAGGCTGAGGTTTTTATGAGGAGCAAGAGGGGAACAGAACAAAGAGATGAAGGGGGGAGGTTATGAGGTGCAGACCCACTCTGTCCATTCCTGTAAGTCAAGTGATGGTGTGACATGTGCCATCCTGGTTTAATCATCCTGACTTTACATCATCCTGGCTCCACAGTTGAAGGCCAGCAAATCTCCCGGAGCTGGGATGCCTGGAGGTCAGAGTTTGTACCTTTTGAAGTTAGTTCCTAGGATTCTTATACAAACATGCTATTTATCTACAAGCTACTAGGCAGAGTCAGCACTTACAGAAACAATGTCAAAAGCATGGTGTAGTGGGTTATAATTTCCCAATGTTACATTCCTTTTATGTAACTGGAATTCAGCATACTTTTATATTGTAAAGTATCATTTCTTTTATGAATTGCTTGTGTCCTTTGCCTATTTTTTCTTAGGTTAAATTTTTTTTAAATTGATTTGTAGGAGTTTGTTTGTTATAGGTGCTAATATTTTGACTCTTACATAGGATGCAAATATTTTTCCTAACTCATCATCTGTCTTACAACTATAGTGTCTTACACCTTTCAGAAGTCTGTATCTTTTAAAGATTGTGATTTTATGATTATATGTCTATTTTCCTTTGTAATATCTGATCTTTATGTCACATTTAAAAAGATTACAAACATTTTCTTCTGATACTTTTCACATTTAAATCTTTAATTCATATAAGAATTTTTCTATGTGCAGTATGATAGATAGGAATTTAGTTTTATTTTCATTGGTTAGTCAATTGTCCAAATACCACTTGTTGAAAATTCATCCTTTACACACTAAATGAAAATGCTAGTTTTTTTACATATTAAACTTTCACGTACATCATCTAATTTTTCTATTTTGTTTCTCCATTTCCTGTTCTGCCTCATTAATTACCATTTCTAAGCCAGAATCATACTGTTTTTGTTATTTTATCTTTAGAGTATTTTGAGAAATACGATGGTGTGCAGAACCCTTCTAATACAGCCGACCCTCTTCTCCAGGCTCATGTCCGATACACAGACCTGCTTTAGGAATGGCAGACGTTTCGGCCCCTGGGCTCTGACCCCCTTGTGGCTTTGTGTGCTGTTCCCTGTCCCTGGAGGACCAACCTCCTAATCCACACACGCAACAACTGCTGTTCCCTCCAGGGTGCCTTCACGTTTCACCCTGTCTGACCATCTGCCACATGCTTTCTTTATGAGTCTTTCTTTCTATACATGCATATGCTATATAGAATATAGTATGCATCACCCTGATTTATTGTGCTCATTTTCTGTCTCCCCTCTCTCACCCCAAGTGCGTATTTCCCTAAGGGCCGTGTCTCATTTAGCCCTGTCCTCCTGAGGCCTGTCTTTGGCACTGACTAGAGATACTCAGTAAGTGTGGGCTGAACAAATGAATGAATGTCATCACAACAACATCATGATGAAGCAAAATGAAACAGAGATGATAATTCTTCCTGAAGTTACAATAATGATCTGGACACCTGATTAAAAATTTTGAGCTCACCTAGCAACTAGGATTGGCAAGTTCTTGCTATTACGAGAGTGATGTGATACTTAAGTGCTATACATCAGTACTGTACCTGTTTTATAACAATTAGGATCAAAGCATGTTCATTTTACCCAAAACATACATAAAGAAGCCATAGTGTGTTATGTAATCTGTACACGCGTCCCTTTGCA